CAGTAAGAACGAGAAGAAGCGAGAGAAGACCGGTAGTGGGACCAGCGGTAGCAGGGATAGTTGCACGAAGAAGGAGAAAAAGAAGCACAAATCGTCCGGTAAGCAGAACAAGGTCCACTTCGAGAAGGCCGTGATGGGCAGGCAATGGTCGCCGTACGGCTGCCACTACTACCCCGATCCGGAAGCTTTTCCTCAGCCACGTTTGGACTCCCTGCCGCCGGATCCCTTGGGTCGCGGGGAGCAGTATTATTTGGACCTGGCCGGGAACATCAGGAAGGGCCCGGTGGGAGTTGGTTACACCTGCTACTGCGCGCCGTTCTTCAGGCACATGGAGGCTAAGCTGGAGAGAGACAAGGCGGAGCTGAAGGCTCACATCGATCAGGCACACGAGAGATTGGACTTGAAGGTGGCCAATCTGGAAAGGAGAACCAGAGGTCAGATCTCGGAGTTGACCAGATGCGTGGCGGCTGAGAGGTCTAGGTGCGACGAGAGGCACATGCACCTCCAGCAACGTCTCTCTAGAGGTGGCAAAGGCAGACACAGCGAAAGACCAGCCAAGGCTACGTTCGCAAATGACCAGTCGTTCCCACCTGCCCGCGCCAGATCCTTGGAGGATCTTCTGGACGACAGACCTCACGATAGAAGCTTCGAGATCCCGGGTGAAACACCGATTCATCGTGGCAGCCTGGACGATCTTGATATTCCGGCCATACCGCGACTCAGCAAGTCCATGAGGGATCTTCCGTCCGGTTCTGGTGTCTCGAGGTCAACGCTGAGGGTGCTCGACGTGCCTGCTAGATTAAACGAAACATTCGACGGGGTGATCAAGCAGGATCGTAGCTCGCCGCTAGGCGCCGCCTCTTCGCCGTCGATCGGATCCAGGCAACAGGTCCATCAGCAGCGCGTGAGTGTGTAATCGCTGATTCTTTCGTTAGCTACGCTAAGCGTCCACGGAGGTGTTGATTAAGCTGCGAGGCTGTAATGACACGTTGCGCGAGGGTTGCACCGCGAGTCGCCTTTACGACCGGCAGATCGCATCGGTTCCTCTGATGCTTAAGCCCCTTTTCTATCTTTTAATACCGTGATATTACACACCGAGAGAGCTAATTGTTTTATCTACCTTCGTTCTTCGCCTTTCTGCTTCTTTCCACGTTACACACACTCGGCAACGGATATCGGCATGTCGAGATTATAAATGAAGCGAGATTGGCAGATAATTGTAGATCGGCGATGTAGCAGAGTCTCGATCCTTTTATCACCGTTAGCTCGCATGTTTTAATTATCCATGCACAATTTTATTCCTGGTAATAATTCGCGGTAAGAATTAACTGTACGTAAATTTTCCGCCTAGCAGCTTGAGAAACACCGAATATATGCGCTAAACGCGGCACACTCTCTTTCTGAAAATTGCTTTAAAAGTTAATAAAGATGTACACGACGTTCTGAAACGTTGTAAGAGGTTAGCTTACCGGGAATCCTTTCGTCGAGTCGTTTTACGAGGTAGAGCACGCTTATTTCTCCGGCAGTCTTGCTCGAAAGTAAGAAAAATTGCGATCGGAATGCCGCCAGGATTCGTCTCGAGATCACGGGATAAATTCGTGCCAGGATGAAAGTAGCGCGACGCGGAAGAACGAGGACAACTCGAACGAGTGGAAATCTTCCGGACGACGAAGCGTTCACGAGATGATTAAGCGATTTCAACAAGTACCTGGCATGCATAACGGGTGGCGGGCTCCACGCTCCGGAAGTAGCGAACCCACCAGTCCAGAGAACAGTCAGTGTTCCCAAAGTCAAAGGGTCCAGCCGCAAGGTGGTGTAGGAAACACTTGGCATGGCGAAGGTTCGATTACTTTCCCGTCTTACATGTACCATACATACCGATAACAAAGAAGTCGATGAATTTTTGAAAAAGTCTTCAAAATAATCGACTAAATGCAGTAAAATAAAATATCACTTACCTTCTGACTAGAAGTTGCGTAGTTAGCCAGAAATTTTATCCATCTTTCATTTTCTTTTTCCACGTCTAATCGTTCATGTGCATTGTAGATCGATAGAGATTTGGTGATCAGCCTTGTGCCCTTTTACCGTGTTGTTGATCTGAAAAATAAATTTATTGTCAGAAGATTGATTTAATAAAACTTATATTTTTAAAATTATTAAAGGTAATGACAGCGAGAGTAGCGAAGGAGACGACGACGAGCAACCAGAAGCATTAAACGGAGGGATCTCTGGAAAAGGAGTGATATCGGAGCACGTGCATTACGACAGCATCGCCAGAATGCCATATAGGTCCCGTAATGCGGTTTATAGTCCAACGCCGCCTTTGCATGACGCACACAATGACTCCGGATATAGCACTCGCATGTATGGTTCTAGCAAAGGTGCTTCACCTTCGTTATCAGGTAAAAATACCGTCGTTCCACCTACGTCCGCCGTGCGGCCTTAATTTTCAATTGAAAACACGTTCAAGTATTGAACGCGCGTTCATTATTTATTCCCATCATCTTCTTTTATTCTGGATGGTATTATGCTTCAATTATTTTTCCTATTATCTTGCTGGTAAAAATGATAATTTCTTTTTATTTTTAGGTCAATTAGAATGCGACGTGATTCTTCCAACTAATCCAAATACATTTCCCAGTGGAGAACAATTGGCTGCACTGTTGGAACAACCGAGGAACCATGATCTTACAGTCTACGAGCGCGGTGCAGACAATTGCGTTATTAATATTGGAACTGCGAGTCTTGTTTAACGTATAACGCAACATTTGGAAACGAATTCTCGTATACTTCCAAAGACATCGACATTTTACATAAGTTAACGATACCTACTCAGGTGTTAATGTAATTTCTCTTTAAAGGAAGATATGTATAAATTTAAGTTGATTATTTTGTTAATAGATTCCTCTGTACAAAATGATTCTCGTTTCAAAGAATAGGACGTTATCGTTTTGTAAATATTTCATAGGCATACGTTAAACTTGAAGGTGTTAAAACTTTCCAAATCATCTTCTAGATCATTTATTATCACCGATCGATCGTATTTATTGTTATAAAATTTTATTAGATACCGATGATATTATAAAAAGAGGAAAGAAAATGAAGTATTACAAAATTCTCTAGGAACAGAATAGATTAGTATAGATAATTCCTCCTTGATCAGTGTGTAATGTTTTGATAAAAATCGTTACTATCATCTCTGTAACAAGAAAAGTTATGTACCTATAAATTGCCATGTACCGCACAATAGGTTAAATGATATCTATTTATTATGTACATGCTTCTTCTTTTATTCGTAATACTATTATATAACTAGTACATACGTAAATTTAATTTTGTACGATTGTAATTAAATTTTACATGTCTCGTTCCAAAACTGAATGTATTATGCAACAATAAGCGTGATTAAATAACAAATGAAATTTCCGAAAGTCATATTCTACTTTTATTTACAACGCCGATGAAGATGCAAATTCTGCTATCGATGAATGATACAAAGGTATACCCGTTAATGTATGCGAATTAGCATCTTGAATTTTTACGACAACGTAATCACCAATTTTTATTGATCTTTTCTCGTTTGAATATTTCTCAGTAGGTATAATCTTGGAAGAAATTACTACTCGCGTGTTTCCATCGTTTTTTGCTTGAAAACCTTCATTTGACCGCTTGCTGAGCTAAAATTATTATACATCGTATTGATATACTAAGTTAGATTATAATAAATTATAAATTACCTTACCTCATCTACAAGCACAAGCTGTAATTGTCCAATCTGTAATTTATTCAATTTTTCTGCTTCGGTTCTATACGTTGAAATCATTCTTTCGAGTCGATTTTGTTTCACACTCGGTGCTACGTCATCCTTGTAACGACGATGTGCTGTCGTTTTCTAAAAATAATAATAAAAATCTCTGGTAAAAAATTTTAAATATAATATAATATAGGAATTTTCTAAAATATCTATTACCTCCCGCATACTGTAACTAAAAAGAAAAGCTCGATTATATTTTACTAATTCCATTAATGATAATGTATCTTGAAATTCTTCTTCTGTTTCTCCACAAAATCCAGTAATAAAATCGCTAGAAAGATAAATATTTGGGATAATTTCGCGTATACGATGCACCAAATCTATATACGACTCTCGTGTATATCCTCTTCTCATTCTTTCCAAAACTACGGAATTACCACTTTGTGCAGGTAAATGAATTTCTTTACAAATATTTGGTCTCTCCGCTATCAGTTGTAAAACTTCGTCTGGAAAATCTTTGGGATGCGGCGATGTAAATCTAGAAATTAATTTCTAATTAAATCTACATTTATTAACGATACTTATTTCGAAATATATGCATATCTTTATTACCTAATCCTTATCTCTGGATTGATACGTGAAACTTCATCTAACAAATCACAAAATCGACGTCCCCCTTTTTTATCCTTATAAACTGTTTTGAAACCTTTTGCTAGATGTGTTCCCGTATTATAACTAACATAAAATTCAGATTGGGACGTATCTCTGTAACTGTTTACATTCTGTCCAAGAAGTACTATTTCTTTTACACCATCATCGGACAAAAATTGAACTTCTTTGACTATACTATCAATCGGTCGCGATCTTTCCCTTCCTCTTGTAAATGGTACAATGCAATATGTACACATATTATCACAACCACGCATTATTGAGCTGAAAAAAGTGGGATAGAAAAGTATCAAAATAATTATACTAAATTATAAATTATATAACAATAAAAAGAATAACAAATTACACAAATGCACTGGTAGAATTTGGATTCAATCTCACTGGTGTAATATCTGCATATGTCTCATCAAATGACAAAACAACATTAATAGCAGTTTCATTATCTGGTACAGATAATAGTCTTGGCAAATCCTTATAACTGTCTGGTCCAGCTATCACATCAACAAATTTGTCCCTTTCTATTATTTTATTCTTTAAACGTTCTGCCATACATCCTATAACAATAAAAACAAGGTTATTACAAAACAATTACTTCAAAAATTGTTTACTCATAAATTTAAAATTATACCTAACAACCCAATTTTCACAGAAGACCTTTTTTTTCTTTTCTTTAAATACCTTAAACTATCTAATTTGTTCCATATTTTCTGTTCTGCATTATCTCTAATAGCACATGTAACAAGCAGAATTATATTAGCTTTTTCTATGCGATCTACTTTTTCGTAACCATGAGATTTTAGGATAGACCATACTACTTCGGTGTCATTTACATTCATCTGACAACCATAAACTTCAAAGTAGACTAAAAAGAATAAAACAGTTTAATGAATAAAAAATAAAAGTATCATTGTAAGTTAGATTTATGATACTCCTCAATTTTACATTACATTTCTATTTACCTTTTTGATTAGAACCATTAATATCATTTATATAAGGAATATTTGGTACATCAATAGAATAATCAGTAGAAATTTCAGTTTTAGGTGCTAAAAAATCTTTAAGTGATGGTCCATTTTTTGATAAATCTCTGAAATGTTTTAAATCACTGGCTTTTCTTTCAATTTCATTAGAAGTTTCCACTTCGGTAACACTTGTGTGTACTTTTTGACTTCGTTGAAAATTATGACACGCAACATTGTAATACTGAGTGAACCTTTTAATAAAACACTTCTTGAGTGATGTACATGTTTTAGAAAGTTGAATAGTTTTTAATGAACGTAACAGAAGAATACTATTCATAGTTAATATTTAATCATTTCAAGTAGGTTATGTATAATGAAACCCTTTCAAAAAATTACATACATCACAGTATATCGTAAAATTTTCTGAAAATGTTAGTTATAAAGGTAAGATTGGTAAAATTTTATTTATGTTACATCTATCTTTTTCATTTATAATCTAAACTATTACGATAAGCACCTTTGAATTGAAACACCGTCCACGTTTAAATATCAGTGGTTCTCATTTCAAACTTTTATTTTTGTTTTCTAACCTAATTTAGCTTAGATTTTAAAATGATGGTTAAAAAGAAAACATTTCATGTAAAGTTTGTTTAAATATTTCAGGTAATGTTTTTTTATATATATATTTTTATATATACTTATTACAAAAATTTAATAACGTGTTATTTAATGATGTGCAGCTGCTTTCCTCATCTGGACAAGGATGTTTCCAAGTTCTTCTCGCTTCCTCTTTGCCCTGATATGTGTGCCCAACTAAGAAATTTTGGATACATTTTAAGGTTATTATTATTATTATTATTTATTTGAAATACTTACAGAAGAGATGTTAGTTATATGAAATTTATTGACATCCTTACCCGCCTCTTTAAAAATTTCAATGCACGCTTATCCTTGGAAACTTTCAACAATTCCATAGCACGCTTTTCATATGGTGCATGTCCAGTTACCTCACGGATTAAGTCTCTGACAAACTTGCTATGTTTAGTTTGTCTCTAGAATTAAAAAATTTATGCTCGCTGGATATTAATTAATTACATATATTTAAATTATATATATTTTTCACTACTTTATATTTTAAGAAACTTTTAATTGTAAAATATTAAGAATAATGTACAAGTATTAAGTACTTTATCAAAATAATAGTTTCTTCTAATGAATATCTCTTTATACTAACCCCTTTTAGTCTTGCTGGCAAAACGCACACCGTCTTTTTCTTCTCATTTTTATTCTTTGCTACACGGATTTTGGTGGTTTTATGGCCTCTATTAAGACCAACTGCTAATTCATACCTCGGAGCCATCCTGTAAAATTAATATCGTGACTTTTAAAGGTTAGGTTAGAAACATAACAATATTATGTTGCACAAATTGCACGATAATATTATGTGCGTTAAATTGCATTAGTTAATAAGAACATTTATCGATATATAAATACTATTGATTTAATAAAACTATAGAGATATTTTAGGATTCAATTTGACACAAACCTTTGCGGCTTAAATACACTTGTAGAAAGAAATACAACCTTGTTTTCATTAGAAAATTTTGGTTTATTCTCTATGCGCGTGCGCCATGATATTGAATCGTAGTATTGTGCGACAGAATATTCTTATGTACTTAATATAAATTCCCTATAATGAATTTTATTTTATTTAAAACAATATATTTGTCATATTTTTCAACATAATAGTATAGAAATATATTATACATACTTTACCATAAATAATACAAATATTATAAAAACATATTTTTCCTGAAATTTACTTTGATATAGATTTTAATATTTCGTATGATGAATACCCTGCGATATAATTGACAAATTTATTTCAACTTCACAATTGTGATTCGTAATTGCTGTGGTGTCAGATTTTCGAAGAGAATATTTTAATTTATATTACAAAACGGTATGTGTGTAATATACGCAGTCATATCATTTTTCTCTAAAGCGTTCAGTTCGTAACATTTATTTTCACTGACAAGAAACCATGTCTAAAACGAAAAACATTCCAAATAACTTAACCAAGTGGGATCTGTCAGAAGATTCCCTGGCACCATTAACTGATTATCAAAAAGAATGTTTATTGAGTTTAGAAGAAGAATTGTTTCCTGACAGTAAGGTCAAAACTGAGGAAATAAGTGATACGGTATGCACAAATGGAGAAACTATGAAATCAGTACAAATAGAACGATGTCAAGATTTGCTAGAACATTATGATGCATTAGAACAAAAGTGTATGGACAGGAAAGATATGAAATATAAGTTATACCTTAATGAACTTCAAGCTCGACGACAAGAATGTAATGAACTTTGTCTACAAATAGAAGATGCATTGGAAAACTTTACAATGTTATCTAAACAATATTCAGAGGTCTCTGATAAAACAGTATCTCTTTATGATGCAAGTGAACAGCTTGATTCTGATCAACGAAAATTAAATTCTACAATAGAAAGTATCACAGAATATGTGAAATATTTTAAGGATATTGATATGATGATGGAAAAATTAGAAGCACCAACATTATCAGTAAACAGTGAAATGTTCTTCAATATATTGGATAAAATTGATAGTAACATAGATTTTGTGCAGAATAATCCTTCCTTTAAAGAAAGTAATACCTATTTAATTAAATATAAACATTGTCAATCTAAGGCAATATCTATGATTCAAAATTATATTTTTAACTTGTTTAGCAAAACAACAGAGAGCATTTTAAATTTGAAAGACAATGATGATTCCCAAGATAATACAGATGCAGCTTTAGCTTTGTTTTATGGAAGGTTTCAAACTATTTTATCAAAAGCTAGGCCAGTTATAGAACAAATTGAAGCAAAATCTTATAAACGACAAGAATATGATAGCTTATTATCTGAGTGCCATCAATGTTATTGGAGTCAAAGGGGATTAGTATTAGGTAGTAGCGTACAAAAGTCCTTAATATCTGTAAAAGAGAAATACAATGGTGATCATTGTAGTTTAGTACGAAATTCATGTGCACTGTTATTACATGCATCAATGGATGAATATAAGTTATTTTATGAATTCTTTTCTAAACCATCTAATGGCTTAACAGCGTATCTTGAAAGCTTATGTACTTCTTTATATGACACACTGAGGCCATTCATAATTCATATTAACCATTTAGAAACATTAGCTGAAATATGTTGTATTTTAAGAATTGAAATGTTGGATGAACATGTTCAAAATAATTTTGAACCTTTGGAAGGGTTTGGAAATATTTGTCTACAATTGTTGCATGATGTACAAGAAAGACTTGTATTTCGTGCACATCTTTATTTGCAATCTGATGTTTTGAATTATAATCCATCACCAGGTGATTTGGCATATCCAGAAAAATTAAAAATGATGGAAGATATAGCAGAGTCAATAAGAGAAGAATCCAGACAAACAAAGATTAAAAGAATATCTGTTTCATCTAATGATGAAAATGTTCTAGAACCAATATCCAGAAATCATATAGAAATAGATACCATTTATCAAAAAACACATATGGGTAATTCACCAGCGGATCTTCATGGAATGTGGTATCCTACTGTTCGCAGAACATTAGTATGTTTATCAAGATTATACAGGTGTGTGGATAGATCAGTTTTCCAATCTTTAAGTCAGGAAGCCATATCACTTTGTGTTCAAAGTATAGAAAATGCAAGGCAAGAAATTGAAAAAAGAGCATCATCTTTGGATGCAGAACTATTTCAAATAAAACACTTGCTCATTTTGCGTGAACAAATTGCACCATTTCAAGTGGATTTTACCATAAAAGAATACAGTTTGGATTTCTCAAAAGTTAAAACAGCAGCATTTGGTTTATTAGAGAAGAGCTCAAGACTTTTTACACTATCAAATAATGCATTATTAGAATTTCTATTAGAGGGAGCACCTCAGATGAAGGAACAATTAATAGATTCCAGAAAACATGTGGATAATAAATTAAAGTATGCCTGTCAACGTCTCATACAATATGCAACATTTTTATTAATACACCCTATTTTGAAATTATTAGAAAAAGAAAAGTTACATGTTAATAATCCAGATGCATCTCAAGAACATATGCTTGGAAGTCCTCAAGATGTTGCAGCAGCAATTAGTGAGGTATTGCGAATAATTAAATTTAAATGTCCTGAAATCCAACACCTGATGCAATTATATCTCTCTAATAAGGAAACAGAATTTATTTTATTTAGACCAGTAAAAAATAACGTTTGTGCTGCATTTACACAATTATATCAAATATTGAGTAAATATTATAATTCAGAGGAACTTCTATTAATTGCATGTCCATTACCAGAACAAATTTCTGTCATATTAAGCTCAACCAGTCTTGTCCATGGAAAAAAGAATGAAAAACCTCAAAGAAAAGATTCAAAGAAAACGTAGCAAAAATGAATTAATAAATTTGTATAATTAAGTATTGTATATTAATGTTATTTGCGTACTATAAACAAATTATTAATTTTTTTTTTTAAGTATTTGTTTTTAAAACAGATATTAATATATAACAAATATTTTATATTTCTAAGTAAATTATGTAAAATGTGTATAAATCATAATTCCATATGAAATAGATATTCAAGCAAAATTAAAAAGAAGCTACTGCAATTTATAACGTCCTGTAATAAAAAATACTATATAATATTTTAATTCTTCAAAATGAATTTTAAGCACGCGTAATTTTTATATTACGAAGACGTATATAATTAAAATATTAAATTAAGTTAATATCACAAAATTTGTATATCCCTTTAATCAAAACTTATGATCTTAAATAAATTTTTACAAAAATTATCATGGGTTTGAAATAAAAGAAGCTGTATATTTTTGTAGTAAACAGAAATATAGCGTATCTTATTACGATAACATTAGAGATTTTATTTTTCTAACTATAGTTGGAAAGGTAATAAACTGATAATATATAAGTGATAATAATGTAAATTACATATTGTTGTACATATTTATCTTAATTTTACAAAAATATCTACTTTTCTGCCCTTTTCTTTATTTATATGAAAAAACAATAATAATTTTTATTAAACAGTTAAAGTAACTTAATGGATTAGAATTGATTTGAAATTGATTTATTACACTGGCTTTTATATATATTTATATAATACCATTAAAAATTTATAAAGAACACGGGTAGGTATATCAAATTGTTTAAGTTTTTATATTAATACTTCTCTATTAATTTACACACGGTAGACCACAGGATTTATCATATTAGAAGATAGTCTATATTCTTCTTCAGATTTACTTTCATTAGAGTCTAAAGGAAAATGTCGGTTGAATTCTTCGGTAATATTTGCTACTGGTGGATGCAAGTAATCTTTCACAGTGACGTATTTCGGACCACCGAACGTATCCAACACTACGATTGAAATTATCTTCAATTTGGCAAAATAAAAATGATGATCTATAATGTTAAACACAATATTTTTAAATTAGTGCACGTAGTAACATGGTTGATTAACTAATGATATTTAGTAGGACAATTCTTACCTGCTGGCATATTAACTAGTCCTGGATGACGCGTGAAAAATACTTTTTTAGCTATTTCTTGTTCCGTACTATCGTCTTTCAACTACAACAGAATGTAATAATTGTTACTAATTATTCTACTATAGGTTGAATAAAAAGTCTACTAACTGGTTTAATTTTGCCGGTTAGAAGAATTCTGGCGCATCGAGGATCCATAGGGTCCCACTTTTTAGATTTGCAGTATTTTCCTTGAGCCAATGTCATCAGCAACGAAGCCCGGTTATCTCTCTATGATAAAAAAAATTATAAAATTAAATTTCACAATTTGTATAACGATAAACATGCAAAAAAAAATAATTAAATTCAGTTAATTAAAGGAACAAAATGTTTGAAAATAAAATATACGATGTTATTCGCTATCTTATCAAATGATGGTAACATTACATACAAAGCATTCATTTATATTGTGACAATATACGTGTTGTGATTCTTACTGCGAGGTCTTGAGCTGTAAAATCCAAAGGAGTGAGATATAAGTATGGAATCCCAGATCCATTTCCTAAAAGTCCGTCTGTATATGAAACTAATGTTACGGCTGGAAACGATTCAATATCCTTTCTTATGCTTATTGTTGCCACGGGTACCCAATCTGTACACATTAAAGTATTCGTAATAATTCACGGAATATTTAATTAGCATTGTGTGAAAAGAAAACAGATACTTAATTTCAAGGTGTTATAAATATGTAACGAAAGATAGTACACATATATGTATTTTCAATTATTAATAATACGAGTAAGATAGTTAAATAACTTAAGTTATTCTTTTATTTGAGAAATTTGTAAATTATATTTTCAAAATATTCAAGGGAAATAAATTTGCATCATAAACAAATAAATAAATGTATTCGGATACAAACAATATGCCTGCATACATAATAGTGTAAATAAATGACTTTATCGAAATGTTAGATAGAAATCAAAATACTTCTTGCAGTGATATTTTTCTCTCGATTTAACAATGTTTTTTCTTCAAAATCGAACTTCGAACGATCGGATTATCACTGCCTTGTGAAACAATAGAAATAATGTAAAATTAAAAATTTTAATGTGACGAACATTAAATAATATAAACCCAAGATGTGAATTACGATTAAATAAATAAAATAATAAATTATATTTGAATTTATTATACATTGCATTTTGTTATATATTGAACATTTGAAACATTGCCAAAACTAAATATATATATAATTCTAATATTAGCTTCTAACGAATATACAAATCTACATGTGTATTTTTCTTTTCACTTCGTTGATTTCTAAATGATTCATAATGATACAAACATGCCTTTGTTAGAAAGTGTTTATGCAATTTTCACACTAATCAAAAGTCATTATTTCATATATTTTAATTAGAAGTAATCACCACATATCATGATAGTATACTTTTCTTACCAGCCTGATTGACAATATATCTTGCCATTAGAGCTGCCTGATTGATAGGTGGTGGAGTATTGGCGGGCTGTTCTTGAGGTCTCTCAAACGATTTGTACATGTCATGATTTTCATGATGTCGTTTTTCATATCTTATTTGTTGTGGACCATTTTCGCGCACTTCCTTTGCTTTTTTCCATTTTAAATACTCTTCAAATTCTTCCCATTGTTCGTCTTCTGAAAACTGCGGATATTTCTTTGCTTCAATCGTTAAGATCAAAACTGCAACGAAGATCGCAAATCGTAAAATCATGGTTTGTATCTACAATTATTCACTCCGACAGTAAATGTATGCAATGAAACATGAATGTACTATCGTATGCCTTTTCAGATAACGTCACATTTGAGGTCTCGTTTTGGATTTATCACTTATATAGGCGCGTATCTGCTAGAAGTATGAGAATGACAAACACGAGCTCCAATGACCGTTGAGAGCACTGACTCAAGGTCTAAATACGTATATATGAACATCGAACTTCTATATCATGCTACGTGGGAATGAACAAAATTGCTTAGTAGGCAAACCTAACCTAATATCTGTAAAATGTCAAGCATTGTATTCAGGTTTTATTGCAATTAATGGAAAGGAAAGTTATTTTGAGGCATTAAAGCTTAGTATTATATTAAAGTTAAGTAGTCATAGAAATTATTAACCTGCAATTTATATAAAATTATAAAATGTTTGAAAATTTCATAATTATTCCTGCAATTATAAAACGTTTGAAAATTCCACAGGATTAATAGTTAAATAACGAATTGATTAATTTTAATGAAGATAATTTTATAGTTATTTATTCTAGTTTAATGTATGTATGTATGACGTATAATGTATTCTGATTATCTATTTTATGGTTAATTAAATGAGTTATAAGATCTATCTGGATACTAAACGAATAGTAATTGATATGGAATGTAATATACGATATAATGTAGTAAATAATTATACATCAATGATAACAAGATTATTTTTGTATCGTTGAGTTTTATAATTTTTTCTGAGGATAAAGAATATGCTAATAATTATCACAGTATAAAAGAACAAAAGCATAATTGTTACCAAACATATATATGTTGGTTATCCAACTTTTGTTAATAAAAGTATGTTTCTTAATGTACTTATCTGAAAATATAAATTATTACACCTGTTTTCAACATATTAAACATATTTATTTGAACATTGGAAACAGGAAGCAAAAAATTGTTATTAGAATTTGAATGAAAATTTATAGCTTTTACAAAGATTTAAGTGCACTGCATTTTTATTTTTAAATTACAATTATGGACTTCTAAACAAGGAATAGTGTAAATACTTAGAAATATTTATACGTAGTTTAATTTGAGTCTAACCTTTGCTTGAATAGTAATGTAGGAGTAAATTTGCTATCAGTCTTATGATCTTTACATCTGATCTTACAGTTTTATTTTTGAAGAATAATTTGGTAAGGCATATTTTTGTATGCATGATTTTGTGTATTTTTAGGCTTTGTCAATTAATATAAGTACTTTCTCTATACAGAGTGCTTTTGCGCACAATCCAATTCTTTGTATTTATATGTGGAACACCACTATTTGGCAAAAGCTGATTTTCATCCAATTTTAAGTATTTCCTATTATTAGGACTTTTAGATATACTTCCAAGCATATAGATTAATTGAAATTACTTAATTAAATGTTAATTATAAAGGATGAAATGAAATTTACAAATAATACAATAATAATAAAATAACTTGTATGTATTTTAAACCTAAGTTGTGAACAAAAATATAAACAGGGAATGAATTTAAGAAACATAATTTATCTTTGAATGTTTATGATGTGTTGTACATTGTTGATTTTAAAATGCAATAAAAGACATGGAATGATAAATTTGTGAAAATTTTGTAAAGCATTAATGCACAATACTACAAACTTCTTAATGTTAAGTGGACATATTTTTTTTTTCAAAGAATGTAGTACACTCGTAATAGAAAGAAAATTCGATTTTTTTATAATTTCATGTCATAATTTTAATGAATCCCAAGAGCGAAGACTGCACTGAATCACAAAGTTTCGTTTTACCAAGATGGAGACGTTATGCATATATTTTAATGCTTAAGTCACTGCCTTACAATGTTTCTCCAACGAAAATAAATTCCGTAGAAATGTTCCGAAAAATTATGAATAGAAATATTCAACAGGTGAATCTTACAGCACATAAAATTGTATTTACACGTGTACTCGTCAAAAAACAATTCATCAATTTACAACAAAACATAATAATCTCTTTGAAAGAATTCGCTACCTCTAGCAACATACACTCGTATCTTATAACTTTTGTTTGGAAAGAAAGATTTATTGCACGCTTTTATATAGTTTTACCACATAAAATAGAGTCAAGCGCTTTTTACCCTCATTCCGATAGGTCGAATTATTTTCTATATAATTGATAAGGCAGTGGTTTACTGTTATCAGACAAATTGATATGTATTAACGCGTTGGTAATAAATGTATACTAAGATTCGAAAGATAAAATTTAAAAACGCGATTCTTAATAGCAACAATTATAAGATAAAGATAACTCATATGAAAACTGATGAAATAAATTAACAACATTAAAACTATGCTTTTCTATATTAATAGAGATAGCGATTTCTTTCGTAAGTGTTACATACTCTTGCATTCTCTCTCTCTCTCTCTCACACACACGCACACACGTACACACGCACACGCACACGCATACACAAACACGCACGCACGCGCTTAAATTCATACAGAAACAACGCTTCTTTTGTTTACGTTATAAGCAAAACACACGCACACGCATACACACACACGCACGCACGCGCTTAAATTCATACAGAAACAACGCTTCTTTTGTTTACGTTATAAGCAAAAAGGTAAACATTATTCTTTTCTATCCGATCCTCTTAAATTAACGCTAAAAAACGTGTAACGATTGCACTGTCGACTTCACTAAAGTCATCGTATTTACGCAACAAAATGTTACAAGTATAAAAAATTTACGACAAGTACGGCTTCTCGAGTAAATTTATCGCTAACAACCACGCCGGTGTTTTTCACAGCAATAACGCTGGTAAACCTTTATTCGTTTCTCCGTTGTTCCTCTTTTCGTGCGCGTTCTCGTGTCACGTGGGACAACTAACCATGTTAATTAATTGCTCACCGCGTTTCGAGATTCACCGTTTTGCCCCTTGAGCGTCGCACCAAACATGTTCTGTCCTCTGTCTCATTTTTTCTTTCCCTTCTTTGTTTTTTCTTTCTTTTTCTTCTTTAGAAACTCCTACCCTCCGTTCTGCTTACGCGAATATCTCCGAAAATGTCAACATACATAATAATTTATTCTGTTATATTACAATAAGTCGTTCTACATAGTCGAGAATAGAGAGCAGCGATTTTTACAGTTCAATTGGCACATCGGATGCGCGCGTATGATTCGCTGGGTTCGCGGGGATGAGTGGAAAAATACGAGGAAAAATAGGGTGAAAAAAGTAGGATACAAAATAAAACTAGCTGGAGCGATGGTAGAAACGATGAACGAACGTGTAACGAAAGTGAGAAATAGGTAAAGCGAAACAGGAGAAAAGGGAAAAAGAGAAAATGAACAAACATATGGAAGGAGAGAGGGAAAACGAGAGGGAAATTCGTGTACAGAGATGCCGAGGTGAATATGATATCACTGATATGCATGTGGGGACTTTGGGCTCAGAATTTTCAGTTATTTAAGTACACGTCTCTCGCGTGCCGGCGCACGCCACTAGGACGTCGAACTGTACCAACCGTTCGTCGTCGACTTGTTCGTCGGATGGTAAATGTGGAAACCAGCTCCGGCAGCCGGGTGATGGTAAAATTGCGCTTGCTCGCTCAAGCCAGCCGAAGCGTATGCCGCGGCAGCGTCCAATGCGCTCGGGTGAACGGCGGCCGAGTACACTTGGGGCTTCAAAGGCAACGGTTGCGCTGGCTCGTATTGATGGCGTAGCACGGGGTCAGTGTAGGCCGACGAACCTTCGTAGCTGCTTATCACGTTCACTGGATGAAGCTGTTGCTGTTGTTGTTGCTGTTGCTTGTCTCTCGGTGAAACCGATGACGGTGGAGTCATCGCTGAGTGATAATCAACCGTATAACCGCTGGCGGTAGAGTACGAGGAAACCAGGCTGGTAAACGCGTCAGCACAACTAGTTCCAGTGGAACTCTTCTGATTGTGCGTTGCTAAAACGAATTGATGTTCACCGTAGGTACTGGATCCTTCGGATCCAGGTGGAGTAGGCAAAGGGCCACTCGGTGTCGTGTCCCCGGCATAGTAGGTTTCACCGGAAGAAGAGATTCTTGTACTACCACTGGACGTGATTCCGTGAACATTAGCCCGTATCACGCTCTCCCTGTTCGCGTATAATTGTCGTAGAAGAGCGGATGCTGGTAATGGCGCGGTGGTCGATTGTTGCGGACTCAAATGCCCCAAATGATGATGAGCTCCGATCCATTTTATCGTACTCCTCTGTTGTTGTTGCTTCAGCAACGCATCCGTGCTGAAATCCGTAGGTTGGTGCAGTGTCGGTGAATGGGACTTATTGAGATTCTGAACTGGCAGATGCTTGGACATCGCTTGTTCTAAATCTTTCACGGAGGTGCCGGTACTGTCGGCGTTGTTGCTCGTTCTATCTTCCACGCGTCTTGATTTCGGACTGGCCGAGCACAATACTTGCTCACCTCCTGAAATGGAATGGTTTGATGGAGCTGGACTTAGAGCGTGGCTTCTCTCGTTATTCGTAACTTTCACCGTTGAGTCGTCCTCCTCGTCCTCCTCCTCGTTCGAGCTGCTATCGTCCTCGTGCAGCTTCCGTTTGTGCCCGCGCAATTTCACTACAAGCGTGCTAATGTTCCCTACCGATGTCTGCGGCTCTTGTTGCAGCTGAGCTATGTTGTCGTGATGTCGGCTGCCTCGTTTCTCGTTCTCCGATCCGCGAGTGTCTTCGCGATCTTCCGGCGGTGACCTGTGTGGGTGTTCCTGATGTTGGTTCGGTGGTCCACCGTGATTTCTTCCCTCTGCAAAGCATTATAATGCTATTTTAGTGATTAGAAGGTTTCGGATCATCGACGAAGGCGGAGTACTTATATTTGATAATTTTACAAAAATATTTCGAATAGTTGAACAAAATAGGAGATCTTAGGATCCTTACCTCCTCTATCGGCATCCGGTGATCCATTTTCTGGATCGTTCCCAGCTGCGTCCTCGCGTTTCACACCCATAACGCCTTCCTCCAGTTGACAGCAATCCAGGATTAAATTTTCGAACTCACGACCACTGAAAGGAAAAGTAAATCAATTCTTTTGTCGTATTTCGATTGGAAGATTCGATGGCAGGCATTTAGTTTTAGAAAAAGATTCTTATACGTAACTCACCTTATAACATAATTGACACAGATGATGTTTTGTTCCTCTGCATTTTTCGAATTGCACACTACCGTGGCACACGTCTGCAGCCACGTGTATCCTCCGCTTTTGTTCATCAACCTATAATAATGCGTCAATACCTGTCCCTTGTGGATCACTGAAATAAATTAAATCGCCTCGATGAAGTCAGTCGCATAAATCGAAGATTGAAAAACGTAAACGGATTAATAAAGAGAATTAATAAAAATACTCACAGTCGATATGAGATTTCCGAAGACGATTCGCATCTTCCCCATGGCACAAAGTGTAAAGATTTTTCCCTGTTAATTCGTCGGCTGTATAATCTAATAATTCGGACACCCTAAAAATCGACGTAGAAAACATCTTATCACGTTATTCACACGAAACGAGCAAGGAAAGTTGAAACTTTGATGAAAGAATTCAAAAAATCCAGAAATTTCTTGTATTTCTTATTATACATGCGTTATATGTAAGAATTGCAGTGCTCACCTTGGTTCGCAATGTGCTATCCGAAAATCGAAGCTGATTCGCGTGACGAACATGTCGGCTTCGAGGCGAATTTCGTGCACACTTGGCGGAGGAAGTGCGATCGCCAGGCCAACCATGCCTATCAACGGTGGCGCGGACTTTCTTGTATGGCTAAACGTATACTGCGGTCTCAAACGGCACAGTAACAACACGACCTGAATTCGTAATCGTTTATTAACGAAACTCTGGTTTCGTTAATTGGACGCGATTGATTGACGAAAGGTTAAAGCAACGGAACCGAAAATTTATTGGCGCTCGATCGAAGGCACATTATAGCTAACGATGGTAACCAGACCGATGATATATTCTACTAAATAATTTAAACACCCTTTTCTATGATTTTTAACGAAAAATTTCGCTCTTGATAAACGACAGGTGATCCGTGGATTTTACGGAAGTATACAGATCTATGAGAGAACAAAATGCTCACCCTATAGCCTGAAGACTTAAAATGGCAGCCCCTTTTCGTGAGAGTAGACTTCATCCGGACGCAGAACGCTCGGTCGTATCCTTTGTAAAGGCTATTTGCTGTTAACGACATTACCGAGGACACTGTAATTGAATTAAAAGGAAGGTATAAATATTTATGCAGCTATAAACAGTACTATACAAAAGCTTGCTTATTTCCTATCTTCTCCAGTTACGTTTTAAGTTATTCTTTCGGCGTAACAAAACAATTTTCAACGAGCAAACTGGACGAGCAAACTGGTCGAGGAACGTACAAGGAGGAACGCAGTCAGTTCTATAAATTATATAATTTATATATATTTATATATATAATTAATATAAATTTGGTAGGAACTGATAAAGGAAGAATTAAAAATTAAAAATTAAAAATAATTTTTAAGAAGACAGGAGTTAGATCGATAAATCACGATGAAGTGCTACGGGAGAGATCAAACGTCTCGTAAGATACATTTCTCAATGATAGAACAAAGTGCGAACGAAAAACAGGCATCTGTCATTTGCTTCTTCGAGATCTCCATTGTCTCGTTCAGATCTATCCGAGTTTCTTTAACGACTACTCAAAAATTGATCAACGAATCTCGATCTCGACGCGACTCGTTGTAGCAAAAGCGTCATCGCAGAAACTTACCGTCGGGATTGGCGGTGGTAGATGATCCGTGTTCTTCAGACGCCGCGCTACTCGGCGATGCTAGCCCGGAACTCGACGACTGTGGACCGGAAGAGCTGCTCGAAGTCAGCCCAAGGCCCAATTGTTCCGCGACTTCCGCGTGGTCTTGCTGATGGACGTAATCGAAAACGCTTGACCCCGTCATCTCTACCTGTAATTCAGAAAAATATTTTACGTCTCTCCATAGATCTTCCTGTCTTTCGACATTATTTTCAACGATATCCTTTTAAAAAGAGGACCTAGGATTTTTCTCTCTTTTATTAACATTCCTTTTTAATTAACAAGTATTCCTCAATGATACTCGATGATTTTTTAAAAGTATTTTGCACCACGAACACGACTTTATTTTTCAGCATACCTGTAGCATATTTTTACGCGATTTTTGTTTAATATTATGACAGATTGATTAGATAAGGACCGAATTCGGGATAATTGTCAAATTTTCTTCAAAGAATTCGACATACGACACGAATGCAACGCTAAAGGCAGAACGCGTGTTTGAATATCGCAATTTCCTTGACAAGTTGCAGAGAGGTGACTTAATTAGAGGAAAAACTGCAGTCGGGGACAGCTTTCTCGAGGCGACTCCAGTGCAGGCAAACTCTGCGGGTCTTAATATGATAGTTTCCACGAAAAACTGCTTCGACGTGACCGAAGCGACGTTCTTTCGTTCGATGGAAATGGCTGTCGTTTTTGTAGCATGATTTTCGGATTAATTTTCTCTCGTAGATCGTAGAATCTTGAATAACGCGATCGAACTTGCGATTAATCGTTTCGAGGAATTTCCGTTGATAATTTTCCATCGCGGGGAACGACATCGATGCCGGTGGAATTTTTCCAAAGGAGTTAATTCAATCAATTTCGATGCCTGGAAAAATTCAAGAGCGACAAATGCCTCTATCGCCTCTATCTGTAATTACGTAAACTTTTCCCAATGGAATTGAATCGAAAGTTCTTTGTCGAGGCCACCCACTTCCTGTTTAGGCTTCTTACGTGACTTTTAACGATCTCCGGGGGAATAACACGTCTGGCATTTTGTCGCAAACTCCGTGCAATGAAATAATTTACGTAAACACGTGTTCCAAATTGCGGAATATTTTTCGAAAGCTTCTTTTTGCTCGCCGTAAATCGAAGTAACTTTATTTTTGCGTAAAACACTATCTTTCGGGAAAATGGCGATCTAAATGCGGGACACGTTTGGAGCCGAAATTCTATTATTAAAACTTTACAGAACAGCGGGACGGATATCGATGAATACAGGCGACAACGAAAAACAAAATAATTTTCTTTTTCACGAGAATAACGCGTTCGTTATTTAATTACAGCTTTTCCATCGATGAAGCAACTGTGTCCGAAATATTCGAAAGAAAGGTTCATGGGATTGCGTCCGCGAGCAGACTCGCGCGTTATCATCTGGATAATTCTGTCATTGTTTTCGATACGCTTCCACTCTCGTCTAATGCAATTATTCGAACAGGCATGGCTTCGACGATCGTCGATTTACCCTCCGATCTCGAGATTCTCGGAACTCGCGCAAAGACAAAGCACGTAAGAGTATGTAAATCCCGCGAAGTAGATTACTAGCTCAGAGGGGCACGGTTTCCCATCGGGGGATGCTCTCGTTCGACAGAGAAGGAGAAAGAGGGAGAGAGGGGGAGAGAGAGAGAGAGAGAGAGAGAGAGAGAGAGAGATAGGGGGAGGGAGAGACTCAATTTCATCGAGCACGGAAACTTTAATTTCAATCGAACTTCCCGACAGAATAATAATAATACTAAAGCTGGTACCCCTGTAACCCAGCAAACACAGAAAGAGACCCATTAAAAATCAACCTCCCTAACGAGACTTGGAAATCGTTAACCTGTTCGACTGCCGTGAGACTATATCGCGTTCCTCGTCAGGGGGTGCAGGCTACAAGCGGAGAAAGAAGGCCATGGAAAAACAGCAGCATTCGAATAGGGAACGAGCGAAAGAACATCTTCGGCGACGCGATTTCCATGTCTGCGCGTTGGAACATCTTCTCTCGCCACGCATTCCTCTGGCCGGTTCTCTCTCGCGAGAAGAAATACCTCCGGAACACAGGGGCTGCCGGCGGCCATGTTTGTGGCAACGTCGGCGCCGGTTTCCCGAATCCCCGAAATACCCTATTGATTGCTCCACGAGTCTCGCAGAACCGAGCTGGTACACCGGTCACCTCCCGTACACCTCCTGTTCCTCCCTCACTCTCTCTCTCTCTCTCTCTCTCTCTCTCTCTCTCTCTCTCTCTCTCTCTCTCTTTCTCTTTCTCTCT